CTCAGCAACCACACCCTAGTGATCCAAAGGAAGACGCTCCATCCATAATCGAAGCATCAGATATTATTTCCTTGGACGATGCTAAGAAACGGACAGGTATATTTGAGCATTTGGTATATGACATCAAGAAGTTGGTGTTTTGAGTGGTTCTTTTATTCGGGTAAAGAACTGAATTTTCATTTGAATCAATAGTCGATATCCACCCCATACGCACGAATTCGTTGATGGAATAAATAGCTTCTGTAGCCGGCGAAGGACAATCTCATCGGTAGTCCAGTAGTCCTTCGAAACCTCCATCCGTCTGTCCCGTGGGTGGTTATCAAGGTAAACCTCGATATAAGCCTTGCCTTGGAAAAATCAAGCACAGAGATATCTTCAACGCATGAGGGCCTTGCAGTATCGCACGCTTGTAATGTCGAGTATGTTATGGAGTGTTCGAACTGCGCTTAGAGGGGAGGCCAGCTGTTACTACCGGAATTGAAATCGACCCGCTGGCTACTATGCTTTATTTTAATCATTCTACATACATCTGTTTCGCATTCCAAGCCACACTCAGGCACTTTCAAAGAATATGGTAGTCATCCATTGGCTGTCGCGGTTGGTATTCTGGCCTGGGAGTGTCTGAGCGCCGATGCCGGATGTCTTCTTTTATCAACATTGCATAAGGGTACATATTGGCCTGTAGAAATAGAATGTAGCCATTGGGAGCATGGAGAGAATCCGCATCAAGTCCACACGAGTAGACTACCCCATGCATATCCGCCAATATATATAAAGAGAGACCCTGTGGGGCCTTTGTACCCCAATTGCTCCTCCACAAACAGGTTATAATTTTGATGATCAACCTGAGGTGGGTCTTCATTAATACACATATAAGAAACCATGAAACAATCCCAGCAAGCAAGCCAAAGCTCCGATTGCCAGCGCGGAATACGCCTGAAGTTTACCGTTGGAGTTTAAGCCCACATTAGGAGCACAGACCATCCGTTTCCCCATTGGGAAAGTTCACGCGAAAAGTCATTATAAATGGAAAAGGCGGGAAGCAGACGAGAGAGGGAGAGAGAGGGAGTAGTTTGTGAATTGTAATCTCTCTGCTGGCTTCACTAAACAATACTACTTCTTCTTCCCCATAAAATCCCTGGCGGACTCCCAGCACGGCTCACACGGAAGTCGACAAACATATCCATCATGCCATACACCGGCGATATACCTGCAAGGCTGGTGCTGAAAGGCACCCCAAGAGAGGTACGGTCTTTTGAGCCCCATGGGAATGTTCATCTGGATTAATCCCCCTACTTGACTGCTGCTCTCACCGTTATCTAAACACTCCGCACAGATTGGTCTCGCACATGGTCGCCAGCTCCAACCCCAAATCAAGGATCAACTGGAGATTTATCGAGAGATGTTCGAATATACCTCCAAAATGGACTGGCCCCAGGTGCGCGCACTGGCGGAAGAATTTCGCTTGACGGCAGAGCAAACCATTCCCGATATCCACGCGGAGATGCAAGGTATCGCGGACGGCGCGGGGGTGGATTTGCTGGATATCGTGGCGTTAAATTGTCGGAGCGAGATTTCTTTGGGAAGATTTTCAGACGGATGCACAGCGCTTTCGTGGAAGATGAGTGAACAGGCCAGGACCTTGGCGCAGAACTGGGACTGGACCACGAGCGTAGGGAAGAACATGGCGATGGTGCGCATTGAGCAGCCCGGTAAACCGGTGATCCACATGGTGACTGAGGTGAGTTGCATTGGCCCAATTCCATTCGGGACGCAGTGCTCGCGGTGAATCCGATTCACTTGCCACGGATCAGGGTTGATTGTATGGCATTAGGCAGGAATTGTTGGCAAGATCGGATTCAACAGCGCCGGAGTTGGCGTCGGCCTAAATGCCATCAAGGCACCTGTGTGTGACAGCTCGAAAATTCCCATCCACGTCGCTCTCCGGCTATGTCTCGAGAGTGACTCCGTCGACGCAGCCCTAGAACGACTAACCTCCCTCGGGGGTGCAGCTTCGAGTCAACATATCCTCCTTGCCGACAGCTCGAAATCACTGGGACTTGAGTTGTCTCCTCTCGGCGATGTTCATATCGAGGAGGATCAGAACGGAATGATTATACACACAAATCACTTCATCGCGAACGACCGTGTGCGGCAACCGCCATGGCTTCCGGGCTCTACGGTGCGACTATCGCGGTGCCAACAGCTTTGTGACGAACTCATCCAGGAAGGAGTTGCTGGAAACAAGATTACCCCGAGCCTGTTGAGAGAACGGATCTTCTCAGATAGGTATAATGCTCCAGAGGGCATCTGCTGCTCCGAGGATCTATCGTTGCATCCAACCCAACACTGTTCAACATTGTTCAACATCGTGATGCATCTGGAACCAGGCCAGCTGGGGGCCGAGGTCGTTTTCGGGCGTCCTGGGTATGAGGAGGAGAGTACCGTAGTCAAGTTACCATGGTAATTTGGCCATGGCACTCTCGTCTGTTCCGCTGCTTGTCTCAGAACCAAATAACTAGAGTGATGGTGGTTGAGGGCCTTGAATACACATGTTCAGATGATAGAACTCTGGTCCATGTATACTTTCTTGTTAAGAGAATACCATGCCCCGTTAAATACGAAGTCAAACCAGGTCGCCGTTCCTTGTACCCCTGTACGGTGGGAGATATGTAGTGTAGTGTAGATCCTTCGTTACACAACAGGCTCAGAGATTTGCAGTGATGTCGTTCTTTCATCCTTTCACTGTGCCTAATCCTATGCTCCAATACCTGGAATAAAGATACGCGGCGAGGAGGGAAGATTCCGCAGTCTAGATTCTTTTGACTCGAAACTTCCACTTGTGAGAGACTTTGATTTCCAGATTATTCAAAAACCACGGTGAGGCTCACTGGCATTTTTCTCTAATTCTGGAACCGACGTTCTCAAATCTTGCAAGGCTTGAAAGCGTCTCTCTCGCGCCTGGTCCTGCTTCCAACCACATCATGGGCCCCAACCAGCGTGAGTTTTGAAAAAGGAAAAGAAAATCAATAAATAAGGGTACTATAACTATCCAACAGCGCTAACCATTCACCAGACTCAGAATCCCCCGTCTGCCCATTAGTCCACATCATCCGTCATGGACAGTCCCTCCACAACATCGACCGCAATTTACCCCCATCGTGACCCTCCGTTGACGGACGCAGGCCATGAAGCTACTAAGAAAATCAAGGTCCCGGGTATACCAGATCTCATCGTGATCTCGCCCATGACGCGCACCATCCAAACTGCCTTGAATGCCTTCCCTTCTATTCTTGGCTCGACCCCGTTCCAGGCGGAAGTTCAAATTTGGCCTAATCTCCGCGAAGCCCATGGTGCTATCTGCAACCAGGCCCTCTCACGAGCGGAGCTCTCGGCGAAATTCCCACAGTTTAGCTTCTGCGAGTGTCCAGAGGAATGGGATCATCCTCCGCATACCATTGATGGCGCCACGGCTCGCGCGGAGGTGGTGAGGCAGCGCGTGAAAAGGCTCTCGACACAGTACCGCAATATCGTGTTGGTCACTCATCGAGGATTTATTGCGTTCCTCGTCAAAGGAGATCGATATGATGTTTGTGAAACCCGTTCATATCGATTCGGCGTGGCAGAGGAAGCGGAGACAGATTTCTTTCGAGTCGGAATCAATGTTGATACGGAGGAATTGCAAGACTTGGCCCGACGGTTCTTGTGTCGTCCGCGGTTGATGGCGAACCCGCAGAGAGAGATCTATAGGGAATTTCCAAAGGTGCAACAGCATCCTTTAGGTTGAATATGTGCAGTAAATAGTTTAACATGGTATTGAAAATAATATATAAATATCGACCTCGATCTTCTCAATTTAGAATGAATTGTAGACTTAGATTGTAATGTGCAGAGGAATTTCAATCTTTCTATACTTCATCTAGGAGAATAGTTGTGCCGAGGGATTGATCAGCTGATAAACCATAGATCTCTCTTTGACGCGCTCTCTCTCCCTGGCAGACAGAACCTCCTCGAATTAAAGTATACGGCATCAATACCAGGAGATTGAATACCCTGTGCAATTATCCTTGACCAGTCATTCCATAATCGCGTCGTTTACTATAATAAATTTGCTTCCACAGAATTTGCAAGGCGACATTGGAGTCTTGTGGGTCCTGTCGGAGTCTACCCTTTCACTAAAGCTCACCTTCAACTGTGGAGAATGACTATTGTGATCCCCGGCGGATATCGCTCGGCCATTGAATTCAGCTTTGACAAAGAACAATCCGACGCCATTATTCGAATCACCGCCTACCATCGGAAAGACTACTGCCTGTCCGTAATCTGGTACTCGAATCGCGAACACAATGATATCCATCGGTCAATAGTAACACCCTTCCAGCGGAGTTCGACTGTTGGACTTGGCTCCCTCGATCGGCTACCCGCCGAGCTCTTGTTTGACACTTTGTCCCGTCTGGATATGCACTCTTTGTTCAAATTTCGACAGATAAATCTCAGATCCAGGCAGATGGTGGACTCTCTCAACCAGTATAATAGGGTAGTCCCACATGGACTGAATCTTTTTTGCGCCTTGTTACGCACACGAATTGCCACTGACATCACTCTACGCGAATTTTATGAGGCGTTATGTACCAAGACATGTACCCTTTGCGGCGAATTCGGCGGATTTATATCCATCCTGGCTTGGAAGCGATGCTGTTTTAAATGCCTCCAGGAGTCTCCCGAGACACAAGTGCGGAGTCTCGCCTCAGTCCGAAAGCAATTACACATGACCAAAGCTGAACTTAGCCAACTGAGGTCATTCGAGTCCTTGCCTGGAATATACTCAATGAATGAATCTGTACAAAAATCTCGCATTACGATCGTTTCTCTTCATCAGGCTACCTTGATTTGCAGACGGCAATCGCACGCACTCCCGCAAGTTCAACCAGGGAGCTCGGACCGAAATCACAAATTCAACTTTATGGGCTCATGTGCACTCCCTTATTACGACAAACAAACTGGCAAAGTTGAACATGGAATATCGTGTGCTGGGTGTCAACTTGCTATTGAAAAAGATATTATCGGCACCAGGGGCACAAAATGGGGGTATGAGGCTCGAGACAAAGTGTATGCGCAAGACGGCTTTCTCGACCACTTTCGATGGTGTGAACAGGCACAGCTCCTCTGGAGATCTAGTGGCGAAGGTAACAACCAGCCACCCGAGCTACCTGTGTCTGTTCGGACAGGAGGTTACTTTAGAAGAAGGGAGTGAAAATTATATGGAATCCATTTGCTAATTTATTTCAGCCACACTACCGAGTAGTGACAATGGAGAATCCAAACCTACAATACAGCTCGAGTTCACAAGTAGTGAATTATTCTTCCAGAATCCGCCCCATTTGGTCTGTGTATTTCACCTCCGCGTCTGGCTTGACCAGGTGCCTGGAACAGTAATCGCTCGAGTTTTTACCAAATACCTTCCTGACTGGATGACATTTGACATTCGTTCCGCGGCGCTCGTCGCATTGTTCAAACTCCATCTCCTTCCTGCAACCACAAGTATACTGGATATACCTCGACTCGCACATTTTGGCCTAGTAGGTCAAACAAGTTAATCAGGCTGAGGTATAGGGATATCCGTCTCTGTACGGTGTTCTGTAGCCAACTGACCTATCTCCCCGGATACTCGATTACAATGACTAATGCAGAGAAGGGACCTCACTTGAACAATCCAGAGCCTGTATGGTTATGCTGGAGGGCCGTGCTGAACGTTTGCCTATTGCTGATACACCGAAAGAAAAGATTGATTGAAATTGAAGGCTGTACTGTGTATGGGGTGCCCCAAAACGAAAGGTCGTGTCCACTCAGGAAGGTTTGGAAGCATCGCTTATGGGCTGGCAAAGTCAGATAAAGACGGAGAAATGACTACAGGCGATACGCCCTGCTCTTGGCCATCGTTGCCAATCCACTACCCCTCTTCCACATTTGGAGAGGAACGAGGCCTGAACAAACAAACTACCTACCGGAGGCACGGACTTTCACTGTTTCAAGCAGTCTAACCGCGGACATGCATATGTGGTTGAAATGATTGACAAACTGTGTCGAATCTGTGCCGCTCAGCTGGGAGTGAGACCGCGTCTCGGAGACTTTATTAGCCTGCTGAGCCGGTGCTCCTACGCCAACCTGTCAAGAAGAATCCCTGGACGGCATTGCCAGGGATAAAGCGAAACCCAAGAATGTCGATCCCTGAGACAATAGAGTATCTTACTCACAGTTCTCTTCTGAAATTACAAAAGAGGAGACTCGCGGCGGTAAAATCAATTCCAAAGCATATATTATAAAACCAGTTTTCAATCATAGAGAGGGATCCATCAGCGCATATGTCTGCTTCCCAGCCTCCAGAGCATCCGGTCGTCCTGTCCATGGAAGTAGATGACGACGATTCTTTTCATAGTTAATATCGACTGCGAATCGGAAATTCAGTCAAATATGTCGTTATATCTCCTAAGACCTTCGACAGAAATAGGCTTTCATTTCCTGTTCCGTCCCCTCCGAGTCTTCCTTGGGACGATGAATGGACAGTAGCTCACATTTCACGAGACGAAACTAGCGGTGACCTGAAAACTTCCATCTCGAACCGAACACTGGCTGGCGTGATGTGTCAATGGCATCACACCCTTGTTGATTGCTTAGACTTAGAGAAAACCAAACTGCTCACAGCAATGACCTTTGAAGCTGTCTCGCATTCGATTCTTCCCATTATTCTTAAGTCGCCAGAAGCCGTCATTGCTAAAATAGCTCGTTTCGAATGGGAGATTCCTCGTATCGAACGCGAAACAAGAGCCTACCAGCTGCTTGAGGGCTCAGGGCTGGCACCACGCTTCCTCGGCCATGTTCACGAGAATGGACGCATCATGGGGTTTCTATTAGAGAAGGTGAAAGGACGCCCTGCTTCCATGCAGGATCTGGGTATCTGCGAAACAGCCTTGGGGAAGCTCCACGGATTAGGATTCTTACACGGGGACGCAAACCGATATAATTTTCTTCCCACGGAAGAGGGGGTCAAACTCCTTGACTTTGAACGTCTTCAGGAAAGTGCTAGCCCGGAATCAATGCGCAAGGAGGTAGAAAGTGTACGTGTGGAACTGACTGAGGAGTCAGGACCTGGCGGGGCTTTATCTTCCCGGGTGGTACCAATTGAACCATGAAACTCAAGGCGCCGGTGTATGGCCCTCCTAGACTATTTCGAGCGTAATTGCCAGAACATAAGAACTAGGAATCTCACTTCAGCCAGGGAGCATAAGCACGGAATGCATGATGGTGCGCTTAGTTGCAAAGGTAATGATCTAACTATGAGACCCAAGAGTTGAACCGCGATCCTCCAAGAGTCGACCGAGTGAATTCACAGGCATGGGCTGTGGACAAGCTATTTATCCACTCTGAAAGCAGCAGAAAGAAACCAATAACTGGATAACTTTTCCCACAGATAATACTCCAAGGACCAGTTCCTCCACCCCCTTCCCACGGATCTCGAGAACTTCATACATAGCGATTTCTGACACATTTGCCGTCATGTCTGACCCTAATATCTTAGATCTATTGATTAGTACGTTCCGGGTGGACCCGCGATTCTCTCCTCCCACGTCAGTGTTCTGTCCTCAGAATACTCTATCTCTTGGATAGTCTGGTGCCTCACGCCGAAACCCACAGCAGCTCCGTTTCGCTTGATATGTTGAGAGTCTCTGTCGAGAGCAGGGCACTGGTGATCATGAACTGCCCTCGTGGTATCACGTGTCCCAGGCAGAGACGAGGCTCCCAAGGCGGCAACAGGCAGCCCCTCATTATACGGGAGTCATTCGACTTGTCCATCTCTCAGTCGAACACGGCGAGTTTCACGAGAGCAAACCCTCCTCCATCAACAACGGCGCTTCAATTGGCCAATAGCCCCAACAGCACATTCATCAGACCCAACCATGAGCGAAGCTCTGTGCCCTCCCAGGTTCTCATTTGAGCACGATCAACGCCAAAGTCCGTTGTTCTCACGTCTCCCATCCGAGGTGCGCGCGGAGATCTTCGCGTTTGTTCTGTCCAGCTATGATGACATGGCTCGAGCATATCAAAAAGAAACCTACTGGACTCGACCGGGCCATTATGGACCGCAGCATGTCTCCACAGACCTCCTGAGAACGTGCAAGCGAATCTACACGGAAGCGTGGTTTATGCCATTCATTTACGCCGAGCATACGGAGTACCTCACCGCGATGGACAGAAAGCCACGGTCGGCCACATGGAGTGACTGTCTCCAGATAATGGACGCCGACTATGCGAAACTCCAACCACGTTTTGTTCGCATCTTCGCGCAAATGTGGGTACTCGAGCCGGGCGACCGGTTCCAAGAGACACTGGACATGCAGCATTTCTATCCCAAGAAGATCACACTCACCATTCGATATACCGACTTCTGGTTTTGGGAGGACGATGAACCGCTCCGGATTGATTCAACCTGGGTGAATAAGGTTCGTTTCCCACACAGTGTCTCGCGGTTTTGTATCGAATTTGAATCGATTGAGCGACGAAAAAATGAGGTGGACTATATCGCCCGCGAAGCCGCAGAGAAGTGGTACTTCCGTCGGAAAGATGGGTTCCTACTTACTCCATGTGAAAGCGAGACGTCGGTGTTCAAATGGACTGGTAGCTCATGTTTGGGGAATGAGCGCTGGATCCGCGATGAGGTTCGACCAGGAGAATTGGATTATCATGTTAGGACAGTGACATGGAAGCGATCGAGAGAGCAAGAGGCGCGGCCCCGCTGTCCGTGTCTCCAAGTCCCCGATTCCATGCAACGGGAATTACCCCCATACCTTACGGGTCCTCCATTTCTGTTTGTTGATGACCTTCGCACGGCTGCAATACCTAGCAGTGTGCCCGCTGCTGAAGCATATGAAGCGCTGGAGAAATATCGCGAGGCTCATAATCCAGACTACGACTCCTATGACGATAGTGATGATTAATATTGATGAGACCTCCGGAGCACACTTCAGGTATCGGGGATTCAAGCATAGATGGCCTTTAGGAGCCTACTCAAGTTAGGGCATGTTAGAGCTTCCCGTGAAAAGGGTGTTGCTGAACATCGCAATGAGAGGGAGGGCAGTCAGCTAAGCCGCCCTGGACAACGACTGAGGTGGATGATCTCCGTGGGAAAGATGGACTAGTGAGCTGAGACCTAGCACCAGATCGGAGGTCATGTTTTGACGGTTGTAATCTTTGGTGTGTGCGCGCCATTTGAGATTGAAGACGTGAGGCGCATTCGTGCGGGCGATGTACGCTCAACTTGCGGCCTGGATGGAGCAGAAGCCGCTGAAAACCCGAGTAGGCACCAGGATTGAGGGTAGATAAATGCTCAAACCGGATGGAAAGGGAAGATACCATCAAAGCCGAAAGCTGAATCGAATATGCGGTAGCTTGGTACAAGGCCTGGGTCTGGGCCTTTAGCCCACTTCCTACATGCACTACGAAACTCCACTAGAAAGACGATGTCGTGGCTACATGCCATGGTACCGTCATGCTATGGGTTAGGTGAGAGAGGGCCTCACGTCGTATTGACTTAGTCTACCATGGATTCAGCTGCTTATCTCCCTTGCCAATGCCATATCTGGCGACAATATGCTCCGATACGGTCGATCGAGCATTTGCCTAGTAAACGCACCTTGCGCATCCCACTCTATTTTCAATCTACGTCGCTTCTCCAAGTGAGTCTGCCCGCGATAGGGTCTCTCGATGGGCCCGATGCGAGTGTCATTCTCAAAGTCCACGAAGTGTGACTGATCGACACCGCGCATGATGGAGATGCACTCATTGTTGTACGCCCCCACCTTACCACTGTTCCTTACCTCTGCATGCCAGATCAAGTTGTTCCTTATATTTGGCCGTCCTTAGCATCAAATTACTTGGTTCCGGGCAACTCAGTAGGAGAAAGAGGTTGAAATACGCACTGCCAGTATCGGACATCGTGCAAGGACATAGCCGACTCCACCTCGGGCGTCTTGACTGGCCGTGAATCCCATTGAAAGTTAAACCCAGTCTTGATGGCATCGGGGCAGTCATGCACCATTTTCTTCCAGGTGTTGATAGTGCGTACAAGGCCGTCAGCGTTCAACTCATGTAATCCGACCACACCGAACTGTTTAAAATCACCCTTTGCGCACAGGACTTCCCGTGCGTCGCTGGCGTTCTGGATGGGAACGTCACCTCCGGTGGCAACCATGGGTTGCAGATCATAGAGTGCTTTCAAGGGGACTTGCGGTTCCTCAGCGCCGGTGTACCGCGCGGCGATGACCAGGGATGGAGTGCGAGTGGGTGGTGGAGTACCGATCATCATCAAGCCTGCAACCTCATACCGGGCATCTGCCATCTGTCTCTTCATCACTGGAGCCACCTCCGTTGCCCGTTCGAGTGGGAAGATAAAAGCTCCGATCCAAATCAGGCCCTTTTGCCTACGGAGGAGGGAGAGTGGGTGTGCACGGATTGTGAGTTCGGTTACCAGCCCGAAGAACTGTCCTGCACCTCACAGAGCCAACAGGAGATCAGGATGCTCTTCGTTCGCCACCTCGATCAGCTTCCCACCGTCCTTAGCCGTGATAAGCCGCGCGGACACGATTTGATCGGACCCAAACCCTGTGATTGAGGACGTGATGGAGACCCCACCGCCGAGAAAATAGGAGATCGCACCGACTGTATTGCCACTTCCAAGTGCCGAACGGAATGATTAGCAAGATTCGAGACTGGCGGCCTCCCGGGCATGGAGCAATGCATGTACCTGTGAACAGACCTGCTTCGGCCAGACGCATGCCCACTTGTTTGGATAGAGCCCTGCTGACAAAATTAGCGGTCTTTGTATCTGTATCCACACTCACATCAACGTAGCCACTAAGGTCGATAATTATTCCCTCCACACCGATCGTCGACCAGGCGCTATGGCCGCCACAGGTGGTCACAAAGGGAATGGGCGACTGGAGCGCCATTAAACCTATGATTGGTGTCAACCATACAAGCCTTCAGAGCCGTAAAGTAGGACCTTCACTGTTTTGAGACAATCATCTTCAGACCGGGGGAGGATAATAGCAGTGGGGGGTCCTTCGGTCGATGCCGGTCCAACGCCTGAGACGTTCGTGAAATCGAGGGTCCTGAGGATCGTGAAGGATCTCACAGTCAGGCGTGACAGTGGCCCGGAGAGCTGGTAGATCCCACAGGATATTATCAGACATGATCGCGGATAGATCTGCGATGGGAATACGGGCGAAAGTGGGTGTGTCAGGGAGATGAATGAAAAGTACGAGGGACGGGATGATGTGGCAGAAGAAAAGGCATGCGAGTCATGATCCCTGACTAGCTTCCATCTCAAAGAAAGGATCTTGGACAAAGCCTGCATTACCCGTACTTTACTTATATAATACTTGGCCCGGACGTGCCCACTGGTCCTCAGGCGATCCCAGCAGCCTCTGCAGGAACTGTATCTATCTTCGGCTTTGGGTTTGACTATAACTTCGCTATAACACCTCCGAGATACTTCACACACTCAAGATTATACAAGGCCGCGTGGCAGGGGGAGCGTGGCAAAGTATCTAAATGTAATGACAAATGCCAGGTTTTGCTTCAAGTAAGCAAGCGGGTTGGGAAGGGGTTAAGGGTCTGTAAAGATGTACGAGTCTCACTTTAACCCCTGAACAAGGTGTTTACTTCTTCCCTTGGTAGGACGCCAGAGGGTTTATTAAGATACTAGATGAAGATCATGGTGAATGCGAGGAACCCTATCCTGATGCCCGCGAGCTTCGGAGCCAGGTAGTGAATGCCTTGAAAGACAGCAGATAAAAGGCACTACACAATACTATAAATCTCTCCAATCTCTGGCAATATCCAATGCAGAAGATACGGCGCAGTCTAGATGTCATATTCCAGCAGGATTCCGACTTCGCTCCGATAGTAATGGGAAAGTGATATACGTTACTCAAGTTCAGTCAGGATAAGAATCATATTCCTGAAGCTGGAACTGAAATCAGACGCCTCCGCAGATCTGGGATTGTGGCTTGGCCCAGCTAAACAACAACAGCCCTAGAAACCCATAACCGAGTCCACACAAACAAGGCACCCGAAAGGGTCAGGGAGATACCAGTAAACAATTGCATTCCAAGATAATTGGTCCCCCCGGCATTCTCAAGAAGCTGTCCGGCGATCGGCCCCGTTGCAAGCACTGCGAATGAAGAGATAGTGATGCAGATTCCTGCGTAACACATAGTACTTCCATCAGTATAGTATCCCAAGAAAGACACAAGGAATCCTCACCGTTCCAAAAGCCAATAACATCTGTCGTCGGCGCCAGCATAGAGACACAAGGTGAGAAAATCGCCTGTAGCGCGCCCGAGAGCATTCCATATGCTACTGCCCACACGACGACACCTGGGATGCTGTGTGAGCCGATCCAAGCAAAGGAAATCACGGCACAAGTAAAGGTGGCCGCAATAACCGAGTTAAAAAAGCCCAGGCCAGAGTCAGCTATCATGCCCAGGGCATAGCAGCCGAAGAAGGCGCCCGCATTCAGGATTGCTGCATCGTAGAATCCTAGGCTTGCCGAGGCACCGCGCTGGATGGCATAAGGAGTGATGTAAAACTCGAAGGGATTGTCAGCGCATCGATCAATTTAACTGGCTGGTACCACTCACCCACGGTACATAAATGCCTAGGTTCATGAGGAAAATAGCAAATGTGAGCAACATAGTTCGACGGTCGGTAAAGTATTGTCTTAGAGGCAGGGACCTCTGCTCCATCACATAGGGGAACCGACGCTGAACTAGTAACATAGCCACAACCATGATGCCAAGCTGCATGAAACCAATAATCCGTAGAGTCCAACCGTATGACACACCCTCAAAATTGAGAAGTCGGTTTGCGAGAACGGGCCAAATGATACCTGGGGTTAAAATATGGCATAAGTAGTTAGACCGTGATAGTTCACCGATTCAAATGAACACATACCTCCAGCCATCTGGCCAGACATGACGAAGCCAACGGCAAATCCACGGCGTTTCAAGAACCATTGTGACTGAATAGCCAGAGCCGGTGTGAAGATAAAGCCCATTCCAAGTGCCACGCAAAACCCCTGGGAGAGCAGAAATTGATAGAATTTGGTCGAGACAGAGGACATCATATTGCCCAGGACCATGAAGAATGTTCCCACGGCAAGAGGTAAAGCAGGCCCGTGCTTATCAGACAAAGTCCCAGACCAGATGCCAAAGAAGTAACAACCCCAAACCTGAACGCTGCCGATCCACGCGATATCAGATGTGCTGGAGCCTGGAAGGACGGTTGTCTTGAAGTAACTCTGGAACACAGATCCCCCGCTGAGGAACCCAATGCTAGCAACAAACGACAGAAATCCTCCCAGCGCCGTGCGCCAGGCTTGGACACCACCGTCCTGGAAGGAATCACTATTGTCAGTCGCCGCATCTTCTAAGCTAGCCCCAGTTTCCACGTCCTTCTGGGCAAATTCAATGTGACTGTGGTCAGCTCGTGCTTCCTGTGTCTTCTTGTCTGTCTCACTGTCTGCGGACATGTCGATATCTCCGATAAATGAAGTCTTGGGCTGGGGAAAAATAGATAGCATGTTTCTGGTAAAGAAGATTTAATGTTGACTCTTAGCATGCTTCCCTTGGTACAATGGATACTCGGAAACGGCCTTTATATATGCGGAGGATGTCGGGGAAGGTACAAGCGGCACAATTGTTACTATCGCCAACACGAACCATATCAGAATATCAAACGTGTGTAAGGTTCAAGCAGGTTTGCAGGCGATTGGCCATGCATGCAGCCTTTGATCATAGACCATCATCAGACTCCACAAGATGTCATCCTGAACTCATTTCTCCTCTTCCCCGCCGTTGCACGAGCTTGGTCGAGACGCCATATTGGCAAGTGAACAAGATCCCCCTCCCTCATCGTGGCTATCGGTGCGTAACAATTGCCCAGATTAGCTAGAGCCCAAGCAGATCCAGACCTTCACTCCCTTAGTTGGGAAGCTTATACAGTTCGATGTGGCGGCTACAGATAAGGGTCGGTTACAGATAAGAGTGCACTGGACCAGGCTCCAGTAAGCTTAAGCTAAGTGTAGACAAGGTTGTCGATTCCAAAAGGTAATTAGGCATTTACAATAATCAGATTACAAGTTTGAAAAGGATAAACCTCGCAGATAGACGCCATGGGATCAGTCCTCCTGGACTAAGTGGTTTTAGAGATACATATGTGTAAGATTGATTGCAATAACTGCAGCTCTAACATTGGCTTGGGATTAGAAAGGGAACTGACTAGATAGGGTGCCGCATGGATTTCTTCTGCCTTTGAATCGAGATCGATACGATGTACTCGACGCTGTTATGTGTCTGTCTTCTTAATTTATCCTAGGGAAAAGGGGTGCGATGATACAAAGTAATCTATCCAGTTCGAGATTTAAGATTTCGCCTCACTTTTGCGGGGTTCAGATGGTTCCATAGTTCTGGTAGACCCCACAATTGGAATATTTAATAGTGCAGGAATTTGTGGAAACGAAGTGAAATAAAATTTTATATGAAAATAAAAGGCCTGGGCTTTCCCTGTACTCCGAGGCCCGAGGCGGTATGTTATTAACTTGCCCTCCCCAGCTAGGGAGCTGTGATCGTGAATGGTAGCTTTCAATAGATAAGACTTTCAATGATCTCCTTCTCTGCGAAATTTAGTTTTTCTGGGGTACGTGTGGTGGGGGCCCGTGGGATGCTGAAGGATTGTCCTCACAGCTAAAGACCTCTTCGTATTGCGGATTGTTTGTAAGATGTAATGGTAAAGCCCGAGATGGCAGTAACATCATTCGAGCCTTATGCGTGCCAGTGATTAATAGATCGAGTATGTTTCTTTCCCCGGCTTGAGCTTTAGCTTTTTGCCGGCCTCCGTAATATTTCATATTATAGGCGTGACTGGATCCTTGGCGATCAATAATTGCTGTATCAGCACAATCTGCCTTCGAGGCTATATACACGCTCGGCGTATCAGGCTTCCCATCGACACTGTAATGCCTGGCTGGTTTATGCTCGGTGCAATTGCAATTGATATTTGCTTGTGTTGCCAATTAGACCAGCGCCAGCTGAAGTAAACCGAGCATTTGAGAATAATTGTAGCTGGCCATGTCTCTGTTCATTGTTTATTTATATAACACCATAATGCAGTCCGTGTCTTCTCATCAACAGCCCCAGACCGTATGGCCCAAACGCATATTCGTCAGGATCATCCCAGAGCAATTGGAGCAGAACGCTCGCTTGGGCGGTGTTTCTCATCAAGTAATGATTATGGATCAAGAGATGCGTGATCAAATTACGCTGCTCTTTTTTCATCAAGCAAGATCCAATTACCATAATCGGCCACATCAAGAGGCAGGAATAGTTCGATGCGAGCATCCCGGGGAGATCGTGGACGGCTCGATCCAGCAAGGGCTGAAGGTGATGCACTCGCACGGAGTCATGTTTGGAGAATGGTGAGACGGCGGTTTCCAAAAAAACCAGTAAAGCTATTCGAAACACGCCCAATGCTGTGCTGTGCCCGGGAAGCACCTCAGTGTCGGGGTGTTCTATCGTGGAAATGTCCAAATGGTCGATGCGCATCTTCAGTTGATTATATGTCTCATAGCGGTCCAGTGGCAGACTGGTACCCGTTGATGGCTGTGCCTCTTGCTCTCCCCCAAAGAGAGAGATGGAGGATATGAGTTCGAACAGACTGTGGAACCCACTGAACATGACACCAAATGCGCCCAAATCACGTAAGTCATCCAGTGACTGCAGAAACGAGTCATAGATCAGAGTCCGATTGCAATTCATGTTGAATGGTGTGATGCTGTTGGATAGGACAATGTAAGAATACACTTCGGCTACAAATCCAAACAGCTTTCTCTCTGCACTGGACGTGAGCTGGTGGCGACAGTTTCGCAGGCGTAGGATCAAATGACGACCGGCGCGCAGGTGGGTAAAAGGGGATCCGTCCAGGTGTCCAGAGACCACCTTCATGATTCCGACCAAGTCAGATAGACGAAAGATTGATTCGAAATTGTGTCCCCAGGGGGATGGCTCACCTCATAGTGAAAAAGGATTACAATCGCCAATGCTACTCGAATGAGTACAAGAGGTTCGAGCAGCGTCGACTCATTATTCAACACCCGATGAAGACTCTGCACCGCTAAGGAATAATGTCGGGAGGTTGCCTGTTGGATTGCATGGCTGTCCGGTAGTTTATACAGGAGATGGCCCCCACTTAGAGCGAGAATGCCGTTCATTAACAGATCATCACTGTAGGCGACCGGTAGCAGCCAAGAAACGAAAGGTGTATCAGGTGCCGGGGCTAGCTTAGGACCCGTCACGTCCAGATAGTGTGACAGTAGGACTTGTGATTCCGGTAGTAACATCGCTCGTCTCGGACTCACAAAAGTTTTTAGCTCCGAACACCATGACGCAATGTGATTTTCCCTCTCATCCGGAGAGCGATCGGCGATGTCCGAGGACAAATTGGAATCCATGCTGGCGGGCCGAGCAGAAGAAGACGTGGATGCAGGTGCATTTTTGGTTTCCGGGTGACCGAAACCCCTGGTTAGATCCCGTTCGCGAGGAAGAGCATCATCCAGAATCTGTGGCCCAGAATCGAGACCAAAAATCCGGACTATATGGGGAGGCCACGCGCATTTTAACTTGTTGCGTGTGCACGCGCGACATTGCGGTTTCGTCTCATCGCATTTCTTTTTCCGTTGACGGCAGCAGAGGCAACCGGTCCGGGTGCGCGGAATTCTTCGGTTCATTTTCACAATCGCAGTTGGACTGAGGACGGTTTCCAAGTGGGTGGATAGAGTGGAGGAGTGCTATGAAGGTGCATTCAACTTCCCCGGACATAAGTTGTAGCAAATGTGGCGATTGCGGGGACCCATGCTGGAGACTTGCGTGGATCGGCTGATAGCCGCGGCTACAGATAAGGATTTAGCCTTTCATCGCGCCAGGTTCCTCATCCGCCAACCCCAAAGATCCTAACTCGGGACAGTGTGGGCATTCCACTGGGGATCGACGTGAGGGAGACTGGAAACGGTGGAGAGTTCTCCCGATCACATGACCGGGGTCCCGTGGGTGGCCACGTGATGACGTCGTTCTATTTGTTTACTCCACGCATCCAAGTCTCGCTTCAACGGTATAGCAACTGCTGCAAGATGAGGGAGCGGATGACCGCGTGGGTAAAAGATTAACGTGTAGACTGAGAAATGACTTCAAATGTTGCCAATAATATTTAATCAATTAATTCAAACTAGACTAACCATTGCAACCAATGATAGAAGGGGTGACGTCCTGGAATATATATCACGACGCGAAAGATTTGGAAAAGGTAACAACACAACACATCACCGATCACTTCCATCAAGACAACCAAGATCGCGAGCTCCAATGTCCATATGGTCCTGCGTAGTAATCGCCGTCCTCGCTCGAATCAAAATATGCCTGGTTCGCCAGTGGATCAAGATATCCGGAAGCACTCGATAACTGCACTAGAAGCGCTCGTTCCGCGGGCATCAGGTTAACAGAGGAGAGAAAAGACGTCGTCGTGCCGCATGCGGCTGCATGGTCCAATTCAGGATTCCGCAGTGTCGACCATGCTGGAATCATCGCATCACTCGGTATACAGGACGCCTGCTGCGACATTGACCCATTGGCTGAGAGGCCTGTTTCGTGGCTCGTCTCAGTAGTAATTGCTGATTCCAGGACCGCAATTGCGGTGTCTGAGAAGTACCTGCTATCTTGCGGCAAGGTCACGCTTTGAACCTCAACATCCACACACATATTATAATATTCGCGAGGCTCTGGAGAAACGGCACGACCAGACAAGTTCAGCTCTTCCCGGCTCCACATACCTGCCGGAGCGGACATCCCAGCTTGGTTGTAGTCTGGGGAATCGTTGATATCCCTGACCTTATCCTCTTCCCCTGACCATTGAGGCTTGGATTTCCGGGGTTTGCCAACTCCTTCGCGCCCTCGTTTTTCGTATCTGTATTTTGGAATGATGCAATCGCGCTTGAACCATCTGCAATTCGTACATGGTATGCCTGCTGTCGCGTCGCATCGGATTTTCCGATCATGGCAAAGGAGACATGCCTGTCTACTCCTCTTTCTGCGGGAGGGTTTCGAATTCATGCCAAATTGCTGTGAACGTTCTGACATTTCGCAGCCAGATTTAGGACGCACTGGCGTAGGTATTAATACAGGACAGTGGCGGAAAACGGCTGGACAAAGCAGGAAAGAATTACGCCGTGGAGCGTGGCGCTGAGTCAAATGGCTGCCGGAAGAGGTCCATGATGCCTCGACGCGGTTGGAGATATCGGCGGCTACAGATAAGAGATGGGCCCAAATTGCGAAACTTAGTCCAGGACTACAAATCTAGGTCAAGGTTGTTTTGCTTTGATAATATCCTGATATAGGAGTCCAGGGCCCGGAAAGGTACGAAACAATGAGAGTGGAGACTATTGATTAAAGACACTAAGATAGTACACGGCGGGAACATTCATGTAGATAACATCATCTACTGCCAGGAGGCTTTCCGAAGCCATGTGAGGTTGTCACAGACGAGAAGTAGGGTCCGTCGACAAGGCCTTGACCACTTCAGCGCCTCCTCGCTGACCCGACTGGATCGCACCTTCCATATAGCCACGCCATACACGCGAGGTCTCGGTGCCCACAAAATGCACATGGCCAAACGGGGCAGCAATGTCCTTGCCCACGATTGACAGGGTGCCTGGCGTGGTGATCGGGCAGGGGGCACCAAGGAAATAGGCTTCTTTGGTCCATTCCATCTCCAGGACATTAACGGGCTGAGGAACCTCGACGTACTGACCAAATGCCCGACTGAATTGCTCCCAAGCCTGTTGGTGACGGGATGCCCGGGGCATCTTCGACCACTGCCTTCCTTTATCACCGGCAATAAAGCAGGTGATGGCCCACTGGTCATCCACAGGGACGCTCGTATCCCGAGAAAAGATGATGGGCCCCTTTTCAGAATCGAGGACGCCCGAGAACCCAGCCTTCTGCCACCAAGGCTCCTTGAAAACATAGACCACCTTCGTATAATAGCCTGTGGTGGTGTTCTCGCTCAGAGCAAGCTTTTTCTCTGGCAGGGGAGGGTTAAATTCGATTTTATGATACAGACTGCTCGGGACAGACACAATTACGCGTTGGCACTCGAAGGTGGCCCCTCCTTGCGTCTGTACCACACAGTGTCCGCGTCGAGATTGATCAATGGATGTAACGGGCTGTCGGAGAAACACGACGCCGGGTCCCAGTTCTTCTGCCATCTTCCGAGCGATGGTTTGGTTTCCTGGTGATATTAGACAAGTCCGCTCTTGAAGGTGATAACCAGGTATGGATTACCTTGTCGATTGCGCAGGTACTGGCCGCCGTTCTTCTGGTCCGATATAATATTGTCGATGCCAGCACCGCTCTTAAAGTACAGAAGCATGAAAAGAGCACTGACTTCATAGCTCTCAACCCCAAGTAACGAGACTGAGAGCACATCGGCGATGGTGACGGCACTCTCCGACTGTATCTTTCCGATACAAAAGTCACGGAATGTGAGTTGATCGATTTCTCTGGCTCGGGCAGAGCTTGTCGGGTCATCCAGGTCTATCAGTGAGCACTCATCTCGAAACACCTGAAGGAGGTCCAGCAATGCATTGGGGTCGCCCTGGGGTACGTTCAGTTAGGTTGGCACAATGATGGAATAGGAAAACAAAAATAACAAGAAACAGAACAGAAACGTAAGAAAGGATGAGTACAAAGAACGCACTGGGAGTTCTCCGTATGGCACTTTGACCAGCGATCCCTCCGCTGACTGAATGAGAGTGTGTCCATGGTCGCGTTGGACCTCAGTGTCGATACCGTACCGTTGGAAGAGCTTGAACATCTCACTCTGGTTGGTATCATTGATCCAGGATGCACCTAGATCATTAAATCCCTTCTCGCAGGACTTGGCTGTCAATGTCTTCCCGCCCACTCGGTCGATGGCTTCCACGACACACACTTTGAAACCGGCAGCCTGCACAATCTGTGCTGCTTGCAGACCACTAAGGCCAGCCCCTACCACCACGACGTCGTAGGTTTCATGTCTTGCCGGAGTGGCTGTCATGTTGCTTTGAGAGAGCTATATGGCTAAATGAACTTTTCCACAAGAGGATATGATACGCGAGGGAAAAGCAAATTGGTACTGGCTCTGTGCGGTGTCGACAATGGCCGCTTTATAGGCAGGATGCTCTCAAGATTATCCAAATCACGTTGCCTGCTGTGGGGCTACATGTTATTATAGCGCGATGTAGCCATTTCAGTCATATCCCATAATTAGGCAGCCGGATATAGCGGAGTCTATGCTGGCTATATCCTTATCTATAACCGCGGTTATCTCACGTCCAAGACATGGAGTGTTGGACCCCGACCATTGGGTCTCCACAACCCAAACAGCGCCTCATCCTATGCTGAGTGGCCCACAGTTCGGTGGAACGATCTTACTGTCTTGCTTTCAAACCATTGTCTGGTGGAAATTTTAAATTATTGGCCGCTGGTGACCCATTGACTTTCGCTGTAAGAGAAGACCTGCTCCGTGTACGTGTGTCTACATTCTGCAAGCCGCTTCCCGGATCGCCTGCAGAGAACGCATATTGTATTCATGGCGTTCGCTTACTGATACAGAAGGATCATGTTCAAGGCCACCACCGCCTATCGATTACTGATCCACGGCGCCAAAGCGCCTACCGCCAGACCCATGAACTCGTGGTTTCCCCTTCTCCAGCCTGGCTGTTCATTCAGACTTTTCGTCTTTCATAACAAGTCACGACTGGGAAATATTTTCACCATGGTGCTTCTTGTTGAGTTCTAACCTCCTACGATGTATGCTACTCGGCTGGAGATGAGGGCTGAGATCGAGAAGCTGTCACATGACTGCAGGAGACGCTTTTATTCGACCTAGATCACCACCTCGCCTGTGAACTCTCGTCCTCCTATCATATCATTGTACGATTTGGCCACAATAACCAGCCTGTATCCTTCAACTTGAATTTCCCTCTTCTGTTCAAAAATGCGCCGCTTCGAAAGAATATATGACGTGGTTGAGCTGGTCGAAGAGTATCGGCATGGAGGTTACCATCCGGTGCAACTTCATGAACGTTTCCACCAAGGATACGAGGTGATTGGGAAGCTGGCATTCAGCCAGTACTCCACCGTATGGCTTGCAAAGGATCATCAGAGGCAAGCTCCTTTTCCTTTTCGCCGTTAAATTGTTTCATTCAGCACAAGGGTAATTAACCGCTATCACTTTAAAGTGACCAGCAACAGGTTGCGTTGAAAATATTAAAAGCTGATGCATCTAAAAACAATCAGAACTCTCTATGCTTCTTCAGCTGTCAGTGTCCGATATCGACCACCCTGGAAAGAGACATGTACTTGAATTGTACGACCACTTTCAACATACCGGCCCAAACGGGACTCACCCGTGTCTTGTTCTCCTGGTGATGATATCAGACGGGACGGCGATGACAACCAGTGGGTCCCCGCACGATGTAGGCTATGTACGGGCGATTTCCCGTCAGCTTCTGCTGGGTCTCGACTTCCTTCACCAGTCAGGCATCGTCGATTGCGGTATGGTAGGACCCACTGTAGTGGAGGCGGCGGACTAACGGCTTAATGCAGATTTGCAACCGGCGAATATGATGTTTTCAGTTACCGGAACTATAAATATCCAAGACTTTTGCAGCCTCCCGAGTTCAGCCCTGTGAAGTGGTTGGAAGGAACGATAAAGGATGACAGCCCTCCCAAATATTTAACGCCTACGCAAAGGCGCCGTGGCCTGTTGGACAATGCAAATTGGTCAACACTTGTGGCCAGGATTGGGGACTTGGGTGGAGGTAGGCTACCCCGATCAATATACAATCTCGTCTAGCTAGCATTCTTAGCGGCTCGCCGGCTCACATATACCCCCAGCTCAGTGGATTGGACACTGCGATGAGCAAACCGTAACAGCGCTAGGCCTACGTGCACCTGAACTAGTCCAACAGGATATCTGGGATGCCGGCATAGATATCTGGTGCTTGGGCTGCTCTGTATGCTGAATCTCCCTCCTTCAAAGCCTGAATTCGGTCTCTAATCCTTACCTGAAGTTATTCGAATTGGCCACGAATGAGCCACCTTTTCCTTTAGGGGTGTTTGGCCTTGCACGACAGGAAATAGATAACGACCACAATGCTCTCATTGACCAAAGGCTCTCCTCGAACGGCCAGAGAGGCGAGAACTTCACCAACTATCTGAGAGCTAGGCTACCTAATTTTACCGTTGACAGTGTGGAAAGCCTGGCGTCGTTCCTGTTGCTTATGCTACAAAAAAGCCGTCAGAGGCGACTGTCGGCGAAAGACTTACTTCAATCACCTTTTTGTTGGATGGGCCTCAGTATTAAGACAGCTGTCAACACGAAGTGAAGAAATTATCGAAAGATTTAATTCAAACCTAGGCGTGCTTTGGTCAGGCGTACGATGATAAGTATGACATCGGGTGTTGGACATACAGGCAAGAATCACAATGTAATTCTGTCTCATGATTGCACATTTATAAACTCGGGGGTTTCACTGATCTGTTGTATCTTTTTGTTCGTAAGGTGGGGCAACAGGGAAACCTGCAATTTCCCGACACAAATTAATAGAACTACTCATTCTTCAAAGAACTATGTTGGAACGATATTCTAAATTGCTTTATTTCTAGAGGTGTGGCCGGTGGCCCGTAGATAAGTATTTTAAGAATTCAGATTAAAAAACCGGCCTGAAAAGGATCATCTGGGTCTAGTAGAACCTTGCGCTCTCCTGTTATCCATGCCCTGCCTTGAATATTTGGCAGTACTGCATCGGTGTTGCCCACTTTCTGTGTCCCCCGTATACTGCCAATGAACTCAGTGTCGATGACACTTCGGAAGGTGACCTTTTCCCCGATCCGTATTTGGCCTCTGGCGTATAAAACTGCCAGGCGTGACGAACTTCCGGTACCACATGGGCTCCGATCCAACCTTCCGGGCGTGACGATGACCGTATGTTTCACTGACTTCACCCCATCCTGGTCGACAAGAGGCTCACTGATGATGATATTATTAATGCCACAGATCGCTGGATTCTCCGGGTGTGTAGGCATATATTGCGCTAGCACTGCCGCCTTCAGTCGGTTGCCAAGGTCGACCAGTCGGTCTCTATTTGACGTGTGGATCTCGATATCCAAGTCTTTGGCCTGGGCAATCACATACCACTGGCCACCATATGCGATGTCCACCAGGATGGTTCCAAAGCCAGGAATGTTGACCGCTTGGTCAAGTCCATACACGAGGCCGGGACGTTGTCGAAGGACACTGACTTGCATTTCCCATTGCTGCACTCGGCGGTTGCCGTGATTAATCCGGCCGCAGTATCCAGCTTCACCTCGGTAAAGGGCTCATTCATTGAGATGGCTCCTGTTTCGAGCAGGACTGTGACGGCGCATATGGTGTTCGACCCAGACATCGGTACCCAGTCCCCGGGGGCCATGATCAGGAAGCCCGCATCCGCCTGAGGGTTGCAGGGCGGCAGCACAAGGACAACACTCATTTCTGGGCGACCCCGTGGTTCGTGCAGTAGCAGCCGGCGTAAATCATCCTGTTCGTTCATGAAGCGGACTAGCTTTTCATGCATGGTCCTTGCTGGTTTGTCAAGTACACCGCCGAGGATCACATCGCCCGCCTCCCCCTCGCAATGAGAACAGACCAGGGATATGTTGCGCAGCGATCGCATTGTGGTCTGGTCGATGGGATGATTGGTGAAGCAGGCCTGAATCGGATAGATAGGGACTGATCGCTCGCTGGTCGATCCCAAGTCACTTACAGTAGCAATACTTATCCAAGGACAGTCACGGAAGGGCTTGCTGGATTCCTTCGACGACTTGTGTTTCCGCTCGGGGTCTCTATCTTATCATCATGGATCCGGAAACGCTTGCCCAAACCCATGAATCATGATAGCTGTTGATTGGTGGAGATTGGAGATAGCTAACCACTTCTAGTTTAGTGGGGAGACCCACCAATTGGCCCTAATGCTGCTCTCTGTACGAGTGGTCAACAGAAGAACGAGACGCTTTGGCCCTGCCCTAAAGTGACGGTGATCTTGTTCTGATGCATGGCTGCAGATCTTACGCAGAGGAAACTCCGAATAAGGCAAGGCAGGTGGTTCCGTCCCCATTACACTGTGCGGTCCATCGTGACATCAACTGCTCGCCATCTAAATACCTTGTAAGTGTAGTACATCACCTCTTACAGGAACGACCAAAATACCATCTCCTCCAGCATGTCTCCAACGCACACACATATTGGCATCATTGGCTCAGGTATCATCGGCCTTTTGTCGGCGTTGACGCTCACCGATGCCGGCTATAAAGAGACTATCGTGGCGCGGGATCTACCGGGCGATGAATCTCAAGACTGGGCAAGCCCTTGGTGAGTTTTTCTGGGTTTTCCATTTAATTGCACACCGTACTTACTGGGAGTGGAGGGCTGGCGTATCAATATTTCCTCATCCAGACGCTGGTGGCAACTCCCTCCAGACGGAGAATTTCAAATACTTCTGGGCTTTAGCGCATAGAGATCCTACGAGTGGTGTTCAGGTAAGTCTCCAACACTGCAGACATGCTGGTAGTCCTGTTCATTATGTGACTTATGGTATGTCCAGGTCATCAAGGCAACCGAACACTACGATGATCGGGAGGACGATTCAACCATCTGGTACAAGACGGTCGTCCCACACTATCGTCTGATTCCAAAGGACAAACTGCCCAAGGGTGTGAAACTTGGGTTCACATATACTTCGATGACAATCAATCCAGCATTCCTTCTCCCTTGGATCCAAACGCAATTAAAAGCACGTGGAGTCACATTTCTTCGGAAGACACTGACATCCATCCAAGAGGCCAAAAGGATCACCGGAGCAGAATATATTGTACACGCATCGGGCTTAGGAGCGTACATGCTTGCGGATGATAAGAATGTAGAGGCCATTCGTGGACAAACAATGTTTGTCAAGACGGACTTTAACGAGTTGAAGATGCACCAAGGTTCCCACTACACCTATGTCATTCCGCGCATGTTCACCAACGGTGCAATTATCGGCGGCATCAGCCAGCCCGGTAGTTTGGATCGCAATGTCGACGAGGCACTACGCGCAGACATCCTCAAGCGCGTCAAAATGCTTACCGATGGGGGCCTTCGCTCGGTCGATCTGGAAAACGATGTACAGAAGGACATTGTCGCCTTTCGACCGGGAAGAAAGGGAGGATATCGACTGGAAGCCGAGGGTGACATAGTGCACGCCTATGGGTTTGCCGGCCTTGGCTATATTTTCAGTTATGGGGTGGCTTTAAAGGTTCGGAAGTTGGTTGATTCGGTTGTAGAGAAAAATAGGCTTCCAAGGAGCCACCTCTAAGGTGCTTTTGTCTATGCAAGGCTGCAATGCCGGGATGTATGGAGAATAAAAGGCTATTCTGTCCAGTATTGGCTGTATCACATAACTATGTACATAAACGGATTCGACTTGTCGTCTAGGAATCAAGTGTTCAAGGCCCTGTCGCATTGAAGTCATTGAATTAGGCGCGAGATGCAGAGTCGCCTGTGGCGTACATATCGATCGATGCCCAAGGGCGCACTATCAGCGAAGGGGCCTTTGGCTTGTCGTAAGGTGGACAGAGCCAAACATGCCACAATGCAACGTCAGAATGACTACTACGAGTGCCAGCCAGTGAAAGCCGGCGTGGCACACGGAAGCGCTTGCCCATGAGGTTTCTGCATAGGCCTAGGGATCACGATGGCTGTGTTTTTGCTATCTTTCCATCCTTTGTACCGGCATCTGGGTCACCCGAGGTATAAGCGATAAGCGCAAAGCTCCCCCTTCGTGGCGACGATAAGAATATGCTAGCGGAAGAAGTTGCCTTCTAGGTGTGCTTCCCCGCATGCTCATGTTGACTCCACATCCAGGCTGGCAGTATATGGGGATGCTTCAGGTCTAAAGAATCGATCTAATCCTTGTATATGTTGCATCAGCAATCGTGCAGATCTTGTCTTAATTTCCTCACAACCGCAATTGCCTGCCATGAAGAAACAGATCGCTTCTGATCCTGACCCGGAAAGTATCACACATACACAATCTCAGGTCGGCGAAGGCTTCGTTAGCAAACCAATTCAAGATGATGCTGTCTTTGGTGAGATTCGTGAAGGAGATACCAACTATCGCGATGTGAGTTTTCGTCTGACGCTCCACACAATTAGAATGAGCTGACATGGCCTAGGTGAGCTGGATGGGGACAACAGCTCTCTTGATCAAAACCCAAATAGGCCTAGGTGTTCTTTCGATGCCGAAGGTTTTCGATATCCTCGGAATAGTGCCCGGGATTGTTGTTCTTCTTACAATTGCTGGGATGACGAGTTGGTCGAACTGGATGGTGGGTGTCTTCAAGCTACGCCATCCTAGTGTTTATGGAATTGACGACGTGGGAAAAATGCTTTTCGGGCGAGCTGGATTCGAGCTATTCGGTGCGGCGTATACCTTGTGTGAGTGCTCCTGGTCCTGTAGAAACTGACTGGGGTTCTAACCGGTTGTAAGACTGGATATTCGCTGGTGGTTCTGCTTTGCTGAGCATCTCGATCTCATTTAACGCGCTCTCTGGCCACGCCGCCTGCACTGCCGTCTTCGTGGCCGTTGCTGCCATCATTGCCTTCATATTCTCTAGCATCCAAACCCTTGCTCGTATAAGCTGGCTCGCCTGGTTAGGCGCGGCATGTATTATCACTGCGGGTAAGTTTCCTAGAGGTTCCGTCCGGATGTTCGTCTAAATGGTCCCTAGTCTTCATTGTCACTATCGCTGTTGGAGTCCAAGGCCATGCACCTATGACTTCAGGTGTCATCCCAGAACCAGATTTCAAGTTATTTGGTGACCCAACCTTTGTCGAAGCCATGACCGCTGTATCCACGATATGTTTGACATACGCTGGAACCCCCGCCTTCTTTAACATTGTTTCTGAAATGCGTAATCCGCAGCTTTTTACTCGATGCCTAGCAATTTGCCAAATCCTTGTTACGGTCATTTATATCGTGGTCGGAACGGTTGTCTACTATTACTGCGGATCGCATGTTGCCTCGCCTGCTCTTGGCTCGGCAGGAACATTGATTAAAAAGATCAGTTATGGTTTTGCTCTCCCCGGACTGAGCGTTTCCGCAATTCTACTACTTCATGTGAGTTTTTACCCACTGCTCTGTGATTGACCAATTGGGCCGTTTCGCGAGGCTGACTTAGGAGGAAGTTACCTGCAAAACACATTTTCATTCGAATTCTTCGGGGCACCAAACACCTTACTGCACCGACTCGGACACACTGGGTCGTCTGGCTAGGGTCCACATTCAGTGTGATCTCTGTCGCGTACATTGTCGCAAGCAGCATCCCTGTTTTTAGTGATCTCGTATCACTGGTTGGGGCTCTCTTAGCAACGCCTTTGTGCTTTCAGCCTATGGGATGTATGTGGCTGTATGATAACTGGGGACCCGGCAAGCGAGACAAGTCTGCGAGATGGTGCGTGAGTGTTGCCTGGTGTGTCTTTGTCATTCTGAATGGCTTCTTTTTGACAATTGGGGGAACATATAGCTCTATAGTGAGCATTGTTACTTCTTACCAGAGGTCGGGGGGATCATCCGCCTGGTCCTGTGCCAACAATGATAATTAATTCGTGTTGTTATGTACCGGATATGTCTATCTCTGGGGTTGTAGACATATTCCTGCCCAATTCAATAATTGTTCGTCCAAGACATATACCTTGATAGTGCAACTATCTCAGCTCAATGGGCGTAATCAAACGAGCATGTGGGCTATTTTGGATTTGTAGTGGGGATTCTTCACTTCATGAACTGCGATAAAGATGTTGTACTGTCATTGGATGGGGGTATTATGGCTAAGAGAAACTACGAGCGATGCGAGGAAAATAGTAGCCCTCAGACAGCTAGAACTAAGACGCAAATATGTGATGAGGCCTTATGATGTCTTACTCCTTTCAATATAAATATCCACAAGAATGAGGTAAAGTAATGGCGTCACGGCTGAAATAGCAGGGCTTCCCTTCTGAGCTTCCTGATTGTGTAATCGAGAACGACGTGATTTCACCACGAGAAATACATTTTTGAACCCCAATAAAATAAGTAAAAAGTAGTGTGAAGCGTCTTGTCTACATATGCTCAACATGGTGCGCCAGCTTAAACCTACGAGGCAATTGACGACATTGACGATAGTGCGAATGTAGATAGAGCGTGCGAAGATTATTACGGCAAGACCTCTTACCAAATTCCTGTGATCATATCTTTCATTGAGGGCTTTTGGGTTAGAAATCCCGAATATACTCTCCTCCTATAGCGAGGGCCAGAATGACATTCGATCGTAGGGACTGCTTGCTATCTGATCAAGATAAAGTGTGCTTGGCGGTGGCGCGTCGGATACTCTTGCTCTATCCTATCAGAACCAGATCAACGCCCGGGGACACACGTAATGGTTTGGGAAACCAAAATTCTATTCGCTCAATTCATCCAGGGAAAGAGGACACGAACAGAACCTTTGGAGCCTACCCCAGTCTTACCCCAGACTTCCCAAAAAAGCAAATGTGGGGGACGATTGGAGAACAACTGCGGGATTTGGAAGCCCTACGGAACCGCTTGCCATTTTTACGAATGGGCCTTGGGGAACTCCACCAATTATATGCGTCAAGCGATTCGAGAGCAATTTAAAAGAGCGCAAGCTGGGCTGTAGTGACCTTGGACACACCGATTAAAAGAGCGTTGCTCCCACTCCCTGAATTGTCGTCTGTTCAGATCTTGTCCACACTTCGAATCCTTTCCATCGCCCATCCTGATAAGAAACCATACACCCCATACCTAGAATCCACAACATCTGCGCAATGGCAGACCTCCAGGGAATCATGGTGGCATTGATCACTCCTTTCACTGATGACCAGAGTGCCATCCACGAAGGCCGTCTCCAAATGCTCGTCGAACGCCAAATTCAAGCCGGTGTCCATGGCCTTGTCCCCGGTGGGAGTACGGGGGAATTCACGTCGCTGACTCTTGCTGAACGCAAGCAACTCACGGAGCTCGTGGTCAAGTATACAAACAGCCGAGTGCCCGTGATTGCTGGCACAGGAGGTCTGACGACAGCCGAGACCCTCGAGCTCTCCATCCACGCGGCACAAACTGGCGCCTCGGCGATCATGGTTGTTCCGCCGTTCTATGAAGCGGTTAACATGAAGGAGCTGAGGAGCCTGATCACCGAAATCGACCAAGTCACCCACATTCCCATCGTATTCTACAATATCCCGTCTGCAACAGGCCTGAAGCTGAGCCCAACGGAACTGGCTAGCCTCTCCACAGTGGGCGTTCGCTACTTGAAAGACACATCTGGCGACGGACCGGCATTGACAGAGCTGCTATTTGGTCTCTCTGATAAAATCACCGTCTTCAACGGTTGGGATACCCTGACCTTCTATGGGCTGGCTGCGGGTGCGCGAGGCGGAATTTGGGGCGCTGCGAACCTTATCCCCGAGTTGGCAGTGGAGTTATGGGAGACCGTCGCAATTAAGGGCGACCTCAAGAAGGGCCGTGAGGTGTGGGCCAAGGTTTGGCCAATCTGCAAGTTCCTGGAATCGCACAACTATGCAGCAGCCGTCAAGACGGGTCTGGAGCTGACTGGGAGCTCTACTGGTGGCGTGCGAAAGCCTTTTGTCATGCTGGAGCCAGAGCTGCAAACGGAGTTGAAAGCTTTGATGCAGAGTGCGGGCGTGAAGATGGCCTAAGTCTAGAACTATCTATCCATTTATTTTATCTAGGCACTGCACTAGATATTATCAAAAAGACCGAAACTCATAAATTATATCCTCATCTTAGCTTCTATACTATGCATGTGGAGGGGAATGTATATTTTGATACGGCTTCCAGCCGAACCTTTACCAACGAAATCGCCCGGATATGTTACGCGTGTTTTTACGCCGTCTCTTCCCACTAACAATGCCGAGAGACAAACGGTCATTGATGACTACGCCGAGAAGTACTCAAAAGGCTTCGAGCTGACCGAATCGATATCCTCAAGACCCAAGGCTACGTTGCCAGCTTCCTCGCGCTGTGTTCTCGTTACAGGCGCAACAGGAAGTCTTGGCTCTCACATCGTGGCTGCTATTGCGCGGCGCAACGATGTTGAAACGGTCATCTGTGTCAACAGACTGAGCAACATCGAGGCCAACTTCCGTCAAAAAAGCTCATTTTCATGCGTGGAATTGAGCTCAATGCCGCGTCTATGGCAAAGCTGGAAGTGATTGAAACGAATACAAGCAAACCGTCCATAGGATTGTCTGTGGACAAATACCAGTCTTTACTGGGCAGAGTCACACACATTGTCCACAGTGCGTGGCCCATGAGTCTAACACGCCTTATCCGCATGTATGAGACCCAAATGAAAATCCTAAGAAATCTTATATCCCTTGCAGCGGATGTTGCCAAAGAGCAGCCCCAGCTGCGCGTCGGGTTGCAATTCGTGTCATCCATTGCCGTGGTTGGCAACTACTCCCTGTGGAAAGGAACTTCCTTGGTGCCTGAGCAGTTAACAACTGTCGAGTCGGTCCCTTTCACTGGCTATGCAGAGGCGACGCTAGTCTGCAAAGCCATCCTGTCCAAGACGTTACGCCGCTATCCCGATCGCTTCCAGGCCAAGGCCGTGCGGGTTGCGCAAATCTCCGGATCCACCCAGAGTGGCTACTGGAATAATTCCGATTTTATCCCGTTCCTCATCAAGACATCCCAGTCTCTTGACCAACTCCCATACCTCAAGGGCACACTCTCTTGGTACCCTGTCCATGGCGTCGCTCCTACACTGGGCGACTTGCTCTTGTCCGAGACGGCCGACGACGAGATCTACCACATCGACAATCCGTCCTGCCAAGGCTGGCAGGAAATGATTGCATCGCTCGCCAGCGCACTTGGCCTTGGAAAGGAATGCATTGTGCCATTTGACCAGTGGATTGATCGCGTCAGACGTCTCCGCGGGTCTACTGCTAATAAACCGGCACTGCAGCTGATTGATTTTTTCGAAAACTACTTTATCCCAATGTCGTGCGGAGAGCTCATTTTGGATACAACCAAGGCAAATCAGCACTCCCAGACGCTTCGTAACCAAGGGCCAATCACTGACGAGGTCATTGGCAAATACATCAAGGCAATGAGAACATCGGGCTTCTTGAATTAAACTGGGACTGTTGTACTCTCTCGTTGTTCTATCGAGGGTGGTACGGAGTCCCGGCAGAAGCCCCATGAACCTGCCCTACAGCCTGTACCCGGGACCTAGAGAATATAAGTCGGAAAAAACCCTCTTTTCTCGATGCTTCCTCCGGGAAGAGTAGTCCTGACAGAATCCGCCCCAGTGGTCGAGGATGGTAATTTTAGGCCCTATATCTGGTAAGAGCTCTGGAATACCGTATGGGATAAGAAATGTGTGCAGCGGGAAGAATGCTGCCGGTATTATCAAAGAGATACTGAGGGTATGCTTGTTCCCCTATGGTGGATATCCTGATTGCCGAAACATTGCATGCCAGGGAAGTGGTCAAGAGGAATTGCCGAGAACTCTGACAAGGACGGAATATATATCAGTAGGTCATCTCAAGTTTTTCTTTGTTTGGCAACACCGAAGACCTGGCATGCTGTCTCGACTCTAAAGGAAAGATGTTGACCCAATCCCTGCTCCTGGTAGTCTATATCGACTGGACGTATTGTTACATGAACCTAGAGGTGCCTGTAAAGTTGTTAAGAGGCCAGAAGTAGGCCATGCGGCATATGTGCAGCAGTTTGACTACAGTATCGCCTTCATTCTTATCGAATGTCACACCATATGTCGTCGCGAGACCTGGTCATTGCTAGAAACTGGGGATCTGTTCGTGGTAGACGGTCTCGTTACGCTGATCTGCGCGGGGTTATCCCTGGTGGTGAGGCGAGTCAAGCACAGGAAAATACGTAATTGTTGGCATCTACATCCCAATGCCCTCACCCGATACATAAATAGTGTCCAGAAGGGACAAGAAGTCAAGGTACAACGAGAACAAGGCGCAAAGCTAGGCACTTGGCAGCCAGCTAGTCGGCTATGATCTCGATGCTATCAGTACTAAGGCAAGCACTGCATTGCGGAGCATGGCTAACTTACGGGATTTCCGTTCTGAGATGACCGAACTGGACCAGTTTCTTTTCAATGTTGGATGTTTGACACGCGCAAGCTTGGCCAGTGCCTATGGGAGCTCAGTAGATATTTGCTGGACGTCATGCCTTGAGCATACTGAATAATCTAGTCTCGGCTACTACCATTTATTAGCTATAGCTTAGTATCATCAAAGCCTGGGGCGTAACAGTGTTCTCTTCCTAACCCCACCCCCAACAAAAACATGGGCTCCAAATTACTTGAACAAGCACCGACCCAAATCCTTAGCCTATCCAACCCCCAGGCGAAATATTAAAATCCGACTCCTGCAGCAATCCCATGATAGCCCGGTTACTGGAGAACCAGCCATCCAAATCTGCCTCATTTCCAATCGATATCGTCGGCTCCTCCCTCTGCTTGTATTCCTGTCCGATAAAATCATGTCCAGTGTCTGTATCCAGAGACTCTATCGCCTGTTGATGGATTCCAACTGAAAGCGGTACCGATAGTCCCAATGCGGCGAGGTATTCATCCATCTCGCCATACGCTGGCGTCTGGCCTGGCTGATGGGATTTACGGAACTCTACGTAGCGCAGCGCTACGTTGTAGAGAACTAAGAAAAGACGGTACATTCTAGCGGCAGCATCTGAGACAGTTGGTGCAGATTTGATGGATTCGACGAATGCATGTAAGTCAGTTAGGTAACCCTGATCTTGAGTTTCGATTACGTGACAGAATATGACGATGAAGGGGGAAAAGGGCGCGAAAAGGAGGGTCCTTGGGCGTCATTACTATGTTAGCGCCGGAGAAAATGGAGTGGGATTGTGTTTTCCTTCGGACACAGCTTCATAATGGAGACACAAGCTTACCAATGAATATACATGGGGAAGTAGACATCTTGATTCTTGTGTATCACTTCCATGCAGTCATGATGTCTCTGCAAAGTGGCTTGTGCCGCTTTGATGCAGTTTGAGCTGAAAGCCGTGGAAGAGGGTTGTTGCTGCGTCGGTGGAGTGGCCCGGTGAACCAGCGTAAGGAGCGATAGACGGAGGACATCGTCGGAGACTGCGAAAAAGTTTATCAAGTCTTCTCCCGAGGTCTGCCTCGCGGCTTGGATCCAGTGATTCTATGCAACGTCAGAATGCCTGTGGGATCGGCTGATTCATGACTTACATGGGTGTCTCGAGTTGTCTTGTCCAACGCCTGTAGGTCATTCACAAGAATTCGTATTCTATCATGCCGCACATTGTCAGGTTGAGCAAGTGAGGAAGGGCTGTATAGCATCGCATATATGTTGCCTTGGCATCGCGCAGACTCGATCCACAAAGGGAAGTAAGCCATGACAGGTGCCTGATTGCAGTGGCTTGATGAGGGTCGAGGTATTGTTATATCACCGTCAGGAATAGTTGACGCTCTGCCTAGGCGAAGTGATAAGCTCTTGTCGAGAAAGTAGATGCCCCAAAAGAGAAATTGTTTGTATTGCAGGGTGTCTTGCGAGTCGCTCTTCATGGATACATTCCGATGGTAGCCCAGTGTCTGGCATAACTCGGACGCCTTTGATGAATAAATCCAGGCCATGGAAGGCTTTGAGAGCTCGACGAAGTGGAACGCCTGCGAATTGGTTAGATTTAGCTTCGACTTTTAAGAGACACTGACGCCGAAAGTGAGTGCAAGAATTATGCTCGAGGTTGCAGGCAGATGCAGAGGCAGATCAGCCAGCGCAGTTTCTAGATGCCCGCGGCACAGGTGAGCAAAGCCGAAGTATTCTTCCCTAGGTTCCCCGGACAGTTTAAACGCGTAGTCCCAGAAAAGAGAATGCAGGCCGGCGTTCACAGATATAAAATCGGCCACGGGATAATCGTCAGAGAAATAGACACCGAGGCACATGTCTGGAAATTGATTGAATTGAATAAATTCATAGATCCAGCCGGCACCAGCAAGGCTCTGGGCTAAGCGACCACCGGTTTAGATGTTATCTGTGCTTGTCACAATCCAAGATCGGTACTCACATTTTGCAAGGCGTATCAGGGAAACCGCTTTCTCAATGGGAGGAAGCTGAAAATTTTGAATCCGGAGACGGGGGGTACGGGTGAAGTGAGAGCCAATTATTTCGTTCGAGGCTGTCTGCTTTTCAAGTGTAGCAACCGTATGGGCAAGTGCATCGAGCGTTTGTCGCATCTCTAGACTGCAATTCGGTACCGAATCCGCGCCCATGAAGTTTTGCAGGAAGTCGTGGGCAAAAGCGGAGTGGGCAGTCAATGAAGAGTCCCCTTCCATCACTGGCCCCTCTGCCGAATCGGCCTGGGTTTCATGCCTAGATGCCGCTGGCGTGGTATGTGGCTCGTTGGACGGGGCTTGCATACCCCTTGGTAGGCGAGGTTGTTTGTTGTCGGACCGACTTACCTTGAGATCATTCAAGATTTCGATGATGCCATCGAGTTGGCGTTCGATGTGGTCGATTTTCTTTTCACTGTAGGGCGACGCAATGGTCGGTCATCTGTATGCGGAAATGATAACCACGCAAGGTTGGGCACATACTAAAGAGGAGTGAAGTGGATGCGAGTACGCTTCTCTTTGATCTTAATTTCGGCATGTCTACACTCAATCTTCTTTTCCGCACAATGTGAACAAGGGCACCGTCGGTCACACCGAATCTAGGGCCAATTAAGCCCCAGTGTATCATTCGTGATGTCGCGTGAAAGCATACCTTGCGGAATCGACAGGCATCGCACTACTCATGAGTTAAGTACGGCAATGAATGATTCAGAGGTTAAACGGATCACGAACCGCTCGCGCCAGGCGAGGAGAATGCGGGTTTGCCGAGGATACGCCCTCGGGGACATCAGAACCACCGACTGAATGAGTATCTTCCATAACGACACCTTGAACTTAGACGGAGCGGGAGGTCGAAACGTCGAGAGGGTACTCGCTGTGTGGCACTTCGCAAAAGCGAAAAAGATTAAGGTAGTCCCTTCACCGCACCAAAAAGTGATTGTCGTAGTCGCCACGATCCCGATGATGATCATCAGCCCTATTCCAAAATCGGTGCCCGCTTGGGGGAAAATGCGTTATGGTGGACCCACAGCATCCCGATCTTCCTTTTTGTTTTTCACTGGTGTGATCCACGGTTCTTGGTGCATACGGACGCCGTGAAATCCGTCGTCCGAGAGCCAAGGTCAATCATATTGGAACTTGCTGTATACCAGAAACAACATTTGCGAGGATGGCGGACACCGTAGAGTCCGCCCCGGAACAACGGGTCTCTGTCCTTTGAGCACACGGGTTAGAGGTATATATATCAGCTAAAATGAAGCTGCCGATTTCAGACGACTTCAACTTCTCACTGGTACCTCAGTCTCGGTGTCTGGGCTACTGCCTTCGTCAAGGCGAGAGATGAAGACCGAAGCGATCGAAGGCGAAAAGGGGGCCGCTACAGTACCGACCTCAGACGATCCTGCAGACTCTTTCACTGCCTTCAAGCGAATCTTCAAGTATGCTGGTCGTTTTGAGCTCTCATTACAGACACTCGCAGCATTCGCAGCCGTTGCTTCTGGTGCTGGGATAGCCTTCCAACCCCTGATCATAGGCCAGTTTGTCACCACCGTTACCGACTTCACATCATCGCAATCTTCTCCATCCCAACTTCGCTCAGAAGCTTCCAGACTCGCTCTTTACTTCGTCTACCTCGGAATTGCCCGCTTTTTGCTATCCTATGTGTACAACGCGCTTTTCACATATACCGCTCACATCATTACACGCAACATTCGGCATGAGTACTTGAAATCAGCTCTGCGCCAGGAGGTGGCCTTCTTCGATGTTGGAAGCGGTGGCTCCATCGCAACGCAGGCTACCTCTAACGGCCGCATGATCCAGGGTGGAATTAGTGAAAAACTCGGTCTTGCTTTCCAAGGCATTGCTGCGTTCATCACTGCTTTCATCATCGCCTTTGTGGTTCAGTGGAAACTGACTCTTATCTGCCTCTCAATTGCCCCGGCTACTCTCGTGGTCAATGGTGTTGCTGGAGGGTTTATGGGGGCCTATGAAAATCAGATCCTCGAGGTCAACTCCAAAGCTAACGTCTTTTCTGAAAGTGCTCTTTCTAGTGTGCGGACCGCCCATGCCTTTGAAATCCGAGATAAGCTGGTTGACCGATTTGACGAGTACCTGTCCCGTGCTCATCATATTGGCAACAATCTTTCAATTGTTTTTGGCACATTTTTCTCCGCGGAGTACTGTATCGTTTATTTAGGCTACGGTTTAGCCTTCTGGCAAGGTATCCGCATGTTGTCCAGGGGGGGCATCGTGGAATCCGGAGACATCTTTACGTGAGTTCGGTCATTCCGATGGATAGGTCATTTCCGCTAACAGTCAAGTGTCATCATGTCGGTAATTATTGCCGCTACACAGCTAACGATGCTTGCTCCATACATGGTCGATTTCACCCGCTCCGCTACTGCGGCATCCAAGCTCTTCGAGTTGATTGATCGTAAATCCGAAATCGATCCTTGTGACGATACTGGACACCAACCACCCGAGGTTGTAGGGGAAATTGAGTTCAACGATGTTACCTTTGCTTACCCCACTCGGCCTGGGGTAAGGGTTCTTGACAACTTCTCCATGACGGCCCAGGCTGGCAAGGTCACGGCCCTGGTGGTGAGTTATCTATGGGGATTAGTCAGTATTGCAAGCTAAATCCTCCTAGGGTCAATCTGGCTCTGGAAAGAGTACTATTGTTGGCCTTCTGGAGCGTTGGTATAACCCAGAGTCAGGAACCATCAAACTAGATGGCCACCCAATCGACCAACTAAATCTCAGCTGGCTCCGAAAGAACGTTCGTCTCGTCCAGCAAGAGCCAATTCTGTACCATGGTACTGTTTTCGACAATATCAAGCAAGGCCTGGTGGGCACCAAGTGGGAAAATACCCCCCGAGAGCAACAAATGGAACGAGTCCAAGAAGCGGCTACCATGGCCTTTGCACACGAGTTTATCTCTGAACTTCCAAATGGTTATGATACTGAGATCGGCCACCGTGGTTGCCTTTTGTCTGGTGGTCAAAAGCAAAGAATTGCCATCGCTCGATGCACTGTCTCTCAACCTAAGATTCTTCTCCTGGATGAGGCCACCAGCGCTCTGGATCCACATGCCGAAGGTGTGGTTCAAAGGGCTCTAGACAAGGCTTCAGAAGGCCGAACTACTATCGTTATTGCCCACAAACTTGCGACCATCCGACAGGCTGATAACATCATCGTTATGAAAAAGGGACGCATAGTCGAGCATGGAACACACGATTCGTTGCTTGCACGTGACGGCGCCTATGCTCAACTTGTGAGAGTACAAGACTTGGCCGTTTCGAGTCCCAGATCACAACCCGATCCAGAGTGGGAATCTGTCAACGACTCAAAAGTAAATACCGCGAGCAAGCCCTCAGTCCCAGGTTCGGACGCACCGGGTTACAAAAACAGCGCAACCATACAGCAGAAAGAGTACGCCAATTACGATGACTACAAGCAGCGAAACATTATCTCCGTTATATACCGTCTTCTCCGGGAGACTCCCGAGCTTAGATTTGTGTATGGTCTAGTTCTAACTGGGTGTATCGCAGGTGGTAAGCAATAAAGCAGACGCATGCCATTACTTCTCTAATAATAAAGCCAGGAGCAACCTTCCCTGGCCAAGCAATTCTCCTATCTAGCGTGGTCGATATCCTCGGCCTGTCAACAACGGAATTAGAACAGAAGGGAAACTTCCTCGCAACCATGTTCATCGTGCTTGCCGCTGGCTGCCTCATATCTTATTTCATCCTCGGATACGCAACTAACACTGTCGCCCAACATTTAGGCCATAAACTTCGAAAACAGAGTCTGCACGACATACTCCAACAGGATCTTCAATTCTTCGATCGCGAAGAGAACAGTACCGGTGCACTTGTTGCGCGCGTGGATTCGAACCCACAGGCTATCCTCGAGCTGATGGGCTTTAACATCGGTCTTGTATTAATCGCCTCCCTGAATCTGTTCACATGTTCAGTTTTGGCACTCGCTTACTCGTGGAAACTTGGCCTTGTTGTTACATGTGCTGGTCTTACTCCGTTGGTTGGCTCGGGTTACCTGAAAATCAGATTGGACGCGAAGTTTGACTATGATACTTCGAAGCGCTATTCGACCAGCGCGATTATTGCGTCCGAGGCCGTTACTTCCATTCGCACAATCTCGTCGCTTACCATGGAGCATTCTGTTTTAGCGAGATACACGAGAGAGCTGGATGAGGCAATGGCTGAGTTGAAGCGTCCGTTGTTTACTGTGATGGCGAGTTTCGCCTTCACACAATCCGCGGAGTACTGGTTCATGGCGCTGGGCTTCTGGTATGGATGTCGCTTGTTGTCGTTTGATCAGGTCACCATTTACGCCTTCTTTGTTGCTTTCCTGGGGGTATTCTTTTCCGGCCAAAGCGCATCACAGCTATTTCAGTTTTCCAGTAGCATCACGAAAGGAGTCAACGCGGCGAACTATCTCTTCTGGCTCCACGATCTCCAAAGAACAGTGCGGGAGACGGATATAAACTGCAAAAACTGTCCTGGGGCAGTTGACACCGTGGACCTGGACAATGTCAAGTTCTCCTACCCGCTTCGACCTGAGATTCCTGTTCTGAAAGGCCTTGATCTCAGCGTATGTTCCCACCCTCGTCATTCAGGATTGAAAACTAAATTCCACAGTTTAAAAAGGCCCAATTTATCGCCCTCGTCGGTGCATCGGGATGCGGTAAATCAACCGTTATCGCTCTCCTGGAAAGGTTCTACGACCCATCCACTGGCGTTATCAAAATCGACTCCTTGCCTCTAGCAAGCTTCAATCCACGCCTATATCGCAAGAACGTCGCCCTCGTACAACAGCAACCAGATCTATTCCCAGTTTCGATACGTGAAAATGTCGCTTTTGGTCTAAGCGATGACACTCGTACTGAGCTCGAGGTGGAAGTGTCTCAGATCGAGTCTGCCCTTAAAGCTGCCAACGCGTGGGATTTTGTCTCATCCCTCCCGGATGGGTTGGCCACCTGTGTTGGGTTCGGTGGAACACAGCTTTCCGGTGGCCAAAAACAGCGTATTGCAATTGCAAGAGCACTGATCCGAAATCCAAGGATTCTGCTTCTGGATGAGGCCACTAGTGCACTTGATACGGAAAGTGAGAATGCTGTGCATGCTGCCATCTCTGCGGGGAGGAATGGAGATGGGATAACAGTTGCCGTTGCGCATCGTCTTAGTACGGTCAAAGATGCAGATATAATCTGTGTGTTCCATGATGGTCAAATTATGGAGATTGGATCACATTATGATTTGATTGGCAAGGGTGGAATGTATAGCAAGATGTGTGAGGCTCAGACTTTAGAGTAGGTGTTATAGAACGACGAAGTCTTGCAGTAGCGCTCACAAAGGGGTTAATATTAGTGTCAACACTAGGATCAATAAAGAGCAATGCTGCGTAACAATTGCATGGCTTGATGAGTGTCTCAACTGGGAAAGTCGAAGAGGGCATGTATATAGAGCGTCACAACTCTTCGCTGTTGATAGTTTATCAGTACTAGACTGTTGTATAGCTACTAGATAGCTCACTGTCGACCAGAAGGTTATTTCTGACACCATGTACCGCTGTCTGTGGGGGGTTCGAAACAGCGGACGCTGCGTTGGTCGCGTCAAGCTTCGTCGCCGACTGCGAGGGCAATGTCATGAAAGTTCTGCGAGAAATCCTCGCCAGATGGTTCGATGCGATTGCGGAACTGGACACGACACACTTCCTCACCAATGCGCGTGCCAACTATGTTAAAAGCGAGTCCAAGGCTTTGGGTACAAGTTACGAGCCGGCGCTCGCTTTTCGTGAGGACTTGTGCACCACGATCTCTCCCGAGATATATTGTACCCAAACACCTCGGGTCGTTTGAAAAGTACTAAAACCCCCGGTGAACCTTTCTACTGCAACCCAAGGCACTGAAGGCCATGAAGATACAAGGCGGATTGAGTTTGTCTTTTAAGTAACAGAACAGGTATAGGGGCAGATCAGGGCCTGTCCTGGTTTTACCCCGGCCAGACTATGGCCACCAAGTGATTCGTTCGTGTACTATCTGGAGCAGACCCTTATCTGCTTATCGCTTTTGATCTTGGCTGGGAATAAACACTAGTAGTAAATAGGCTTGCATAGGTATACTTTTTGGCGAGATTACCAGTCAAGATCATCTTTTTGGATCTGCAAAGTCGCTCGCCTTCGCGACCGCATTATCTTTCCATGACGCCAAAACATTAAGGGAATAGAAACCAGGCACAGCTCTATTTGGCCGAGAAGTGTGCCGGCCCAATGATGCCCAGATTACCGGCTATGGCATCGACTGGCTCATGGGAATGGAATTTGGGCGTGAGGGTTGGTGTGCAAAAGACAAAAGCAGAAAAAAAGATATGGTTGTTGAAAAACGCTAATTCGTTGTCACGCAGTGGAAAGAATATTCAAATGGACTTTGGATCAGGCCCGGCAGATGGAAGCTACGACCCTGCGCAGGTTTGCTGCATGGGTCGAGAAGGCCGGGAATCTTCTAAGGCAGCCGATGAGAGGACCTCGCCGACAGAGCCAGAAAGGCAATCATCAAAAGTGACGTCGAGAGACCTAACGGAGGCACTCCGTAACATCGTCGCCACTGTGACAGGGCTAGATCCCAACTAAATGCCTCTCGATGCCGAAAGCGCGGACTTGTAGATCAACTCTCTTATGGTCATGGAGCTAGGCTGCGAGGTCGAAAGGGTCTTTGCTTGCACGCTGGATCAGCCTGATCAGCCCAACACTCCTACACTCCGCAAGTTCGTCGTATCCGTCCAGAGTGCCGTGTTTAGAGCGAAGAAAGACGCGACGAGAGAAGACCAGGAACAATCTGGCGACAATGAAGACTTCTTGAGAAGTTTGGCGTCGGTTGCTCTTGTTGAGCACGACGCAGTCTTTTCAGACGGTTGCTCAAAGTCAAGCGCTCTTTTGACGCCGCCGCCTGAGGCGAACCCAACGACAAGCTCGCTGGGGTCCTCGATGTCCGATATTCTTACGTCGTTTGGCGAAGTAAAGTTAGCGACCGACCAGAGTCTCAGCAGCCATCACCTGGGCCAGTTTGACAGGTCCTACTTGGCAGGTAGCAGCCGCCTCTGTACTATCCTGGTTGTCGAGGCATTTGACAAGCCTGGGTGCCATTCTCGCACCTCTGCCGCTGGCCAACCACTAAACCATGTGCCATTCGCCCCTCAGGAAACCGGATTCGCACAGTGGTTATACGGCTTTTTGGAGAGAGATACGCGCCTGGTCGATATCGACCACAACACTCAGCAGGTGACGCGCACTTGGCCGACAGTACCGCCTAAGACATCTACGGAGCTATGGTTCTCAACGGAATTGGCAACGGCATGTTTCTAAATGCTCCATTCGCTGTGGCCCAATGGATAGCTCCACGCAACGAGACATCGAATGCCGTGAGATTTATCATGTGTGCTCGAGGAGGAGGACTGGCGATCGCACTGTCCATCGCAAAAGCTATCTTTCTAAACCTGGCCGACAACAGGATTCGCTACGATTTTCCCGACCTAGATAAGACGGAATTTCAGAATTTAACGTCCGGCTCGGGGAGCACTCTTTTGAAAACCCTGACTCCAAACCAGCAACAGCAAGTTCTCGCTGCTATTGTGTTTGCCATCAGTCGTGTTTTTATCAAGTCCATAGCCTCCGGCTGCCTTTGTCTCATCCTATCGCTTTTCGTGGATCGTACGAAGCAGAAACTCGGTTAGCTCGCTTTACTAGTAAAGGTGCATATCCTCTCCTGTCTGCCGAGATGAACCCCGAGAGAGTTTCCATTCCATGGACTAAGAAGCGCCAGTCACATACTACATACGCCCACTTCCCCCTTTTCTTGTAGAGTTATTACTCTGGTACAATTACTTCAAGGAAGCTTGACATTCTTCAAAACCACAGTCACGCCTCTTGCCATCTGATTACCCCAAAACATAGGACATCGCTGAACATGGGGAATTCCTCGATACCTCGCACGCAAATGAAATTTAGGACACTATATTGTAGTTGCCACGATTCATGTTTCTGCTAGACATGACGTCCATGGGATACCTACCATTCCAGTATAGTGAGTACTAGAGAAACAGTAGGCTCTGTATGTTAGATGAAGTGAATTCATGAATTGTTGCCCATGCCATGAGAAAAATGCCTTGGAATCCACTACACCCAAAGTTACACCCATTAGACATATCTAACGAAAGGATTATATGTGCTGCTACAAAATGTTTCTCGAGCACCTTGGATGTCTCTCCCTGGTGGTTGGCAAGACCCTCAAGAACACCTTTCACTATTTCGGACATCAGGGTACCGCCAGCGCGGAACAAGAGAAAGCTGGTATACAAAGCCGCTATCACCTTTACACCATCTGGACTGTCAAATAGTATGCTCTGACCATCTGCCTTACCGCTCAACACGGACGTCAGCCCCTGCCGACATTATAGTTTAGCCAGCTGATCGCAGCAAAGTTAGGATGCTGGGCCAGCAAATCTTGCAGCATCGTGTGGCTGGTATCCGTTGGACGTGAAAAGATCAATTCGGTAGAGCATGGCGTTGGTGGCGATGACTAGGACCAATCCGGTGACATACCATGGCATGCTGTATCCCAGTCGCGCCATGAGGTGGCCGTTTAACATGGTGAAGACCGCCAGGGAGCCAATTAATGGCAATAACTGTACACCTGCCAGGAGAGAACTGGTGTCCTGCACGCACTGAAAGAATAGCGGGATGAAATAGATGGTCACAAAGGACGACGTCCCCGCAGACGCTGCCACCAAGAATGGGATCAACAGGCCTCTGTTCTTCAGGAAATGAACTGGAAACATTCGATTCTGTTGGTCGGACCAGATTGGATGGATACTGGGGGCGCTAAACAGGACACCCCCAACCACGAACAGAGAGATCTCTTGGGCGCTGCTCCACGCAAATGTTGTGCCGCCAAATGAGATTGCCATGAGCATAGAAACATACATCCCGATCAGGAGAGTGTTTCCTATCCAGTCCACAGCCTTTATCCGGTCCCAGAACTTCATCCCCGGCTGAAGATCACGAGATGGAAGCAAAAAGAAATACGCTGGCGCAAACGCGCCTCCGATGCAAAGATTGATATAAAAGGCCCATTTTCACGTCGCGGAGGCATTGGAGGCAAAAGCTCCTCCAATTACAGGTCGTAGGCTGTAGCAAAAATAACCATAGTCAGCAATCCGATTTGGTCTGCCCTACTCTCCTCGCAGAGACCAACTCACACGGTACCAAAACCGAATACCACCCCGATGATCCCGATGTATTTTGGTAGTTCCACAGGTGTCGTGAATAGAGACAGCATCATCATCACTCCCAAGTACATCCCTCCGCCTCCAAGGCCCCCCAGAGCACGTCCGATAATGAGGGCATCCATGTTGGGTGCCGCCCCACATATGGCCGAACCGATCTCGAAAATCACCACTCAGAGCACATAGATCCATTGTGGATTAAACTGTATATATATTTTTAATCTCAAGGAATTCCACTGAAAAGGGATCTGATTGGTACCCATGCTTACCAGAGCAGATTAGTGTTCGCTGTTCCGAGAAGAAATGACACCGACAGCCAAGGTAATTTAGAAATTGAGTTCAACTCGGCGATAATGTTTGGCTGAACATCCACGACAATGGTCTGATCCAGCGCAAATAAGAACACGCTGGACGAGATGGCAGTCACTACAGACGCGTATGATCAGGAACTATACCTAAACTTGGGTTATGGATCACACGATTGCTCTCTCTAGCTTACTTACCAGCGAACGCCCATTTGATCCCGTGGATATCTCGTGGGGAGGGTGGTTCAGGTGTTTCCAGGGGGAAGGGTTGTTTGCGATCGGTGCTTGCGACTTTTTTGGGGGGCTTGTCTTGGTCGTATGAACCTTTTAGCCTCGAGAGCTTTGTCGCGAAGCGACCTTGCCCATTATGGCTATTCGAGGCTGCATTTCCGTGTCGGTAACAGTAGTTTCTGACATTGTGTTGGATTGAGGTGAAGGAAGAGGTTAAGTCAAGAGAGTGCTGTCAGAGGGGACTTAGAGAGTCAGTGAAAGTACTTTTTTTCTTGCTCTCTGTGTGTGTACTGGGTTCAGATACCTATACTTATCCACAAACAGACACCCTCTCGGCGTTCACTGCACTAACAGCGAGTCAACAGTACGATATGATGGACGAAGTATCTCCCATGGATCGGAGTAGTGGAGATTGTGGTAGATCCCGTGTTCTCCTCGAATCTGGAATAATTCATGTCCACCGTCGGTGTTAACTCCTAGAGCTAACAGTGGCTCCGTGGTATGTCCGACCTGCGTCGGGGAGTCGCAAACCTCTCTCATTACGAAGGAATCTCATTAAATTGCTTATAATGACGTGCAGGGAATCTTTTCAACCAATCACACACACACATATATATATTTATTCAGAAGATATTTTAGAATAATTATCACCTGTTCTCCAACTGTTGTAGAAATCTTACCTGAATAGCGCAAGGCAGTCTCTTCCACATGGACCAATTTGGTCTTGCTCAAAATGACGACGTCTCTGTCCGAGCTAAAATAACAGAGCTTCATCTCGCATGGAACTTGGTACACATTACGCGAAAGTTCCTTGACTAGATGTTGTGTTTTGTGTATGCACGGTCCTACTGACTCTGTCAGACCATCCTGCAACGAAGGAAGGAATCTATTCAAACGGTGAGAGTATTATCTGTCTGCCCTTGGGGGATCGAGCCTTGTGTATATTGATCAGGAGGACTGTAACCCACCCAAAGCATTTGTAGCTAGAGGAAAATAGTATAGCTATGTCCAGCGCGTTATAAGGCTAGTTGGTGGGTAGTGAGGGCGGTACACAAGATGCAGTGGAAGCTGGCCGACTTGAGGCTGGCCAGGACAGACCGAGCG